AACTTTCATGTCATGAATATCTGAAAACAATCATTAACAACTTGTACATCAGTTGCCGAAAATTACTCCGCAAAAGATGCAGATGATTCAAAGTTACATTTATTTTCACAAATACATTTGCTTTACAACAACAACTAATTTCAGCAGGACGCTTAATGGAACCAAATTCTGAGGAGCAGTTTTATTGTCAAGACATGCTGTTACATGCCTAGATTCACTTATCTGCACTCACACAGTCACTAATATCATTAAGAAGCTAAATTAAAGTGCACAAACCTGCTTATGACAGCACAAAATTAATAAAAAGTCTTATCAAGAGGCATAAATAAGTGCACAATTAATTTACATAATTACTGCTCTTTTTTAGACACAGAAAACACTGGGAGAGGTTCTGATAACCCAAAGCATCAGCCTACAGACACAACAGCCATTACTTTCAATCAGAATCCATCAAATTAAGCGATAACCGAGACCAAGCACACTCTTATCCAGGAAATCCATGTCATTCATTGGTTAAAATCTGAAAACCAGCAAAAATGTCAGTCAAAACCATGCTTTTAATCTAAACAGGGTGTTTGGATTCAATTTTAAAGCTAGCTCAAGCTATATACACATGCATTTGCTTTATTTTCTCTCACCCCAGAGAGCAAAGCCTCTCTTGGCGTTAAGAGCTCTGGCACTTTTCCAGAGAGGTGAAGCTCTCTGAAATCTTCTCATATCCAGCTCTGTGATCTCACAATGCAGCGCCAGAGCCAGAGCCAGAGGTGTCTCTAAGAAAGAGTCGCATTGTCTTTGAATGTGCATTGGAAAGGTCACAACATCCTGGAGGCCAGAGCATCTCTGGAGAGACACCAGCACAATCTTGTGAGAGTTTCTCATGTTTGATGTGGCACCTCAGCTGATGAATTACAAAAATGAATGGAATGTGTGCCGATATATCCACTCAGTTCAGGATAGGGAACTGCTGACGTAATATTAGTCATCAAACGCTCAAGAGAATAGTAAATATCGGTTATTTAAAATTCTGGATACAGAGGAAACCATTATGTGATTCTCAGATATTTATTTATCCGTATGATTTTCAAAATCCAGTCAAAAACATGGTCAGGTCATTTTTCACCCCAAAATTAAGAGATATTTATTTATTTTCTTCAGTATCCTAATGGTCTTGCATTTTTTGCTTTGTGACATTATTTTGACATGACAATTAAAGAACAAAAATAAAGTAACTAAACATGCTCTTTCCAAATCCCTGCCTTGCAAAGACATTTATAAAGACTCAAAGACAATCCTGAACATGCAAAGGAAAAAAGGATCTACAAATAGCTAGTTTCTTTGGCAAGGAAAACAAATTGTCAAATGATCTGTTTGTAGAAGCTTTGTAGGTGCAGTTTTCAATCTTTCAACTGATATATACTGATAAGAAAATTTCCAACAATGAGAACAAGTCACAAAAAAGTAACTGTGTATATATATGAAATTATTAGCAACTTTAAAAAATACAACATGCAGTCAATAATGGTATAGTCGGGGCTGAAAGGACTTTTTGTCATGAAAATGTCAAAATGACTAAAAGTATAGGTTGAATACTGGAGTGAAATGACCCTGACCATTTTTGTGAGCTTCACTATTAGAGGGAGCAATGACACTTTACTCTATGACACTGTTTTTCAGGGTTGTCCAGTTTCAAAAAGAACAGTCCTTATACTTTTTACACAGAATCTTTTTGAAGGCTTTACGGAAGTCCCTGTTAAAGATGGTGTAGATGAGCGGGTTCAGGGCACTGTTGCAGTAGCCAATCCAGAAGAAGAACTTAAAAAGTGGCTCTGGTAGATTACAAGCCTCTGGACAAATGGCCTGCAAGCTGTAGCTGAAGAAGAACGGGAACCAGCAGACGACAAAAACCCCAATGACGACCGCCAGGACGAATGTGAACCGCTTCTCGCGGATGATCATGGCTTTCCTCCTGGTGCTCAGAGTTCCTGCTGGTGTCATGTTTGAAGAGGACAGCTGGCTACCCTTTGATGTTACGATGACTTTTCGGTACGTTTGGGTTGGGGAGGATGTCTGGTGGACAGGCTCCAGCGCCCCCACACTGGAGGTTGTCCCGTTGGCATTATGTCCCCCAATTACCTCGACGTCGGAGCCGGAGCTTGAACTGTCCTCGTAGTCCTTGCACCTCCTTGAGTGTTTCATCTGCTGCCGACTTTCTGCTGCTGGTTGAGGCTGGTTTACGGCGTCAGATCTGGATGCAGTCGGATTAGGGACATTCGCAGGGTCAAGACCTCCCTGGTTTTCCCCGTTCTGCAGCTCTCGGCCTGGTGGCACACCACCTGCACAGTCTTTCCTCGGCTCTCCCGGAGGACATCTAGTGTGCTTCTTGGCAATCTGATAGATGCGAACGTACACCAGGATCATGATGAGGCACGGGGCGAAGAATGACCCGATGGAGGAGTAGAGGATGTACCAGATGTCCTCGTTGAGTTTGCACTGTGGGCCGCCCCCATCCTTCGCTAGCGGGGTCTTATTCATGGATACTAGCGGGGGGAAAGAGATGACCGCAGAGATGAGCCACACCACCAATATGGCCCCCTTGATTTTGCGAGGGGTGCGTTGGGTCGCGTACTGCACCGGCCGGGAGATGGACAGGTAGCGGTCCAGGCTGATGGCGCACAGGGGTATAATGGAAGACGTGCAGAAGAGCACATCCAGCGCTAAGATGATCTCGCACCAAAACGACTCAAAGTACCAGTAGCCCATCAGCTCATTGGCCAAGGAAAACGGGATGATCAATGTGGCCACCAGGATGTCCGCTGCAGCCAAGGACACCAGGAAAAGGTTCTGAGGTCCTCGTAAAGAGCGGCACGTCAGGACGGCGATGATCACCAGGATGTTCCCGAAGATGGTGAAGAGCATGATGAGCGTCATTGCTGTGGCAAACACAGCTGTGGCTTCAGGAGAATAAGAAAAACTGGAATTGCATGCTTTAACCTCAGAACTAAGATTTGTTCCTGCTCCCAACCTGCACGCCACATCTGGAGGCTGTATTACGGTCATATTGAAGTTCCAGGCTAGACAGAGAAGTGCAAAGCAGTTTTTGATATAGAATTAAATCCTAGCGTAATCCTTCCAAAGACATTTTTTCTTTTAGAAAATAATTTAAAAAGGGAAATGACTAAAATGAGTCTTTACATCAAAGAACGACATCCTTTAGGTGCTTCCTTTGGCGAACTTCAAGAAGAAGAAGAAAAAAAACCCACTACAAGTCAAGATATTGCACTTGCATTTAAAAGGAAGTCCTGTAGTCCGTCTATTTCACAAGGAAATCATTCAAAATCAATCAGCAAGTAAAACGTAACATGCGTAACTACAAAACCGGCCACTGTTAATAAAAAACGTGGTATTAATTTCCACAACATAAGTCAAATATGTTTTAAATACTGTGATAAGTAGAGATGCGCAAGGACCTAGCGCGTCAAAACAATACACCAAGTTTTTAGACCGTGAAAGATAGTACATTTGCAGAATGTAAAAATGATTCAAACATGGGAGATCCGTGGGTTTGTGTGTCCGAGCAGTTCTGAAATGATCAAGATGCGTAAAAAGGTTCACCGTCTGCAAAACGCGCACCAGCCAAGCCAAGCCAAAACTACAGTTCCTCAAATACCAAACGTTGTAAAGACAAATGATCTTTGCATAAACAGTTCCATGTGAGAGAAGGGGAAAAAATCCACGAAGGAATGCTCCAGTTAGGGTTGGACTTTAAGACTTGAATAATAAAAGAGGTCTGGCGAATAAAATTGAAAACGTATACCCATATATTATTATTTAAAAGGCCACAATTAAAGGTAATGAAGCATACAATTGACTAGAATCACTGCGCATATTAAGGCTGCCTTTATAAAATACAATAAAACGATATCAGATGAAATGAAACAGATTTAGCTCTCCAAACAAGGAAAGTGGATTGTGATTAGCCAGCATGCTGATGAAATTAAACTCAAACTCACTTAAGAATCCAAAAGAAAAACACTACGCTGCAATATGCTATAAAATTGACCTTCATGCGATGGTACTGTATGTACATTTGTGCCTCATACTTATTTTTGGTAACACAGACTCCACTCACATTGTCCACCTAAAAACGCACACTGACTACCACCTACTGGACAAAACAAAAATTACTATAAAAACAAGAATTGAGGACATATGCATTTCTATTTTGAAACCTTTATTTGTCCTCCTAGATTCAAAATGCCTCTGTCATCAAGTAACCATTCACGATTTTGCTTGATCCTTATTGTGTCTCGTCTGAAATGAAGAAAGTAGATTCATTCAGGAAGAGCAGCTGGAACTCTCAATGTCAAAGTCAATGGCAAGGCAAAGATAAAATCAACAAATAAGTCCATCAGGTCTTTTAGAGATACTGCTATTGATTCAGTTCACTTCCTCTCCTCAGCCGTCAGAACTCTAGTGGGCCATAATAGTGTCTGACAGGTCAATTCTTGGTCTATATACGGCTTTCCATTTTTATATAGCAAATCCTGAGGTTTAGTCATTTTTAGGCATCTCAGTTTCTTACATTCCTAGTGTTATTTTAGCATTGAGAGCCTAGTATAGATTTTATTATCATTTTGAATTAGTATTTTATATTTTCCCTTTGAAATATTTTTTATCAGCTGTTTGAACTCTCATTCTGACGGCACCCATTCACTGCAGAGGATCCACAGGTGAGCAAGTGATGTAATGCTCAATTTCTCCAAATCATCTACATCTTGGATGGGGGAGTACATTTTCAGCAACTTTTCATTTTTAGGTGAACTATTGCTTTAAGTTCATATTTTGAACTCATATTACATTCACTCCCCCCACCTACAATCCCTGCCGGTACGAGACTCGAACCCACAACCTTTGGGTTACGAGTCCGACTCTCTAACCATTAGGCCACGACTTCCACGAAAGGTTAACTAATAATGAAAAGTTGCTGAAAATGTACACCATGGAAGCAGCTGAAGGCGACTGGGAATGCTGGAGAAGCAGGTGGCCGACACATCAAGCAGGGGCCGGGCGTAAAGAAACACAACCCAAAAAAGAAGAAACGGGAGCATGACAGTGACGACGTGAACGGGTTTCTGGTCAGACGCCCGCGGACCAGGATCTGAGAGAAGAAGTGGCAACAGCACTGAAGAAAGACTTGAGACGAGAGAACAGACGGATAAAGAGACAAAACACCAAAAAGAACAATATGGTGAGGAGCAACATGCATGTAACATGATTATAATGGGAGCGTTTTTCCACCATGGAATAAAAAAATAAAAACTGTAACTGATACAATTCTGTCCTTTTTCCCCTTGCATTTTTGAGTTTATATCTCTTTTTTTTCTTTCAGTTCTTACATTTTTTCTCTCTCTCATAATTCTGAGAAAACCGGCTATATATATATATATATATATATATATATATACTGGAAAATTGGCAAATTTCTCAGAATTGGGAGATGTTAACTTGAAATTACAAGAGTTTAACTCAGAATTACAAGATATAAACATGCAATTCTGGGGGGGGGGAGTTAAGAATTACGAGATATAAACTCAAAACTGCAAGATATAGGCTAAAAGACTGCGAGATGTATTTGTAATTGAGTTTACAAACTCAGAATTGCAAGATATAAACTCAGAATTGAAATAAAAACTCACAATTCTAAGAAAAAACTCAGAATTGTGAGAGAAACTAGCAATTTTGAGAAAGTCAGAATTGCGAGATGTGGTCTGCGCCAATATAGACAGACTACAGTTCGAGTCCCAGCTCACGGACCTTTCCCAATCCTGTCCCCCCTCTCTCTCTCACACACACTTCACTTCCTGCCTAAATTACTGTCCTGTCCTAATTTTAAGAATTGAATAAGAGGAAATTAGCTTCCATAGATCATTAATAAGTCTAAATATGAAAAATCTCACTTATGTTTTCATATTTTCCATCTAGATCTGCTTCAACTGCTGGAAGCCTGGTCATGGTCTCGCTGACTGCCCAGAGGCAGATAACGATGAGGAGATGGGTCGCGGGATCTGTTATCGGTGTGGTTCTACCGAACATGAGATCCAGAGATGTCGTGCTAAAGTGGATCCTGCCATGGGTACGAGTTGAATGAGACGTTTGGATGCTTAAAATTAGCAAAATCAAACCTGCTATGACTTACTGAATTAATGCAGATCTTTTCTAGGTAATTACCCATATGCCAAGTGTTTTATCTGCAGTCAGACTGGACATCTGTCCAAAGCCTGTCCTGACAACCCAAAGGGACTGTATGCTGCAGGTCAGTGATGTCCCTCTTTAAGCACTAAATATCTTTGAATTTTAACACTCATGTTGTGGAGTTTTGTTATTGTAGGCGGTTGCTGTCGGGTTTGTGGCTCAGTGGAACACTTTCAGAAAGATTGTCCTGAACACCAGAACTCAAGTTAGTCGCTCAGTCCTAATGTAACCACATCCACTGACAATTTGGTATCTTCTTTAATTGGAAATTGAAACATCTAAATTAACTCAAACTTCTTTTTGGCAGCTAATTCCATCACCCTCGGCCGGCTGTCCAATAGAATCAGCGCTGACCACGAGGACGTCCATGTGCCTGTGAAGAAAGCACGAGCCAAAAAAGACAAAGTGGTGGTGTTCTGATCCACAGCGGATTGAGAAGAAATGGACTATTTAACTGATTGTTGCAATTTAGGTTTGGTTTCTCCAGTCATGAACTCAATGGTCTATTTAACTGATTGTTGCAATTTAGGTTTGGTTTCTCCAGTCATGAGCTCACCAATGTAGCCAGTAATTTACTGTGAATTTATGGTCACATTTTTTACAATGTAATTCTGTACAATTAAAAAAATAAAACCCAAATTATAAAGGCATATATATATATAAAACTTTGTCCTATAATTGTATAGCTGCTTATCACAGCGGATTGAGAAGAAATGGACTATTTAACTGATTGTTGCAATTTAGGTTTGGTTTCTCCAGTCATGAACTCACCAATGTAGCCAGTAATTTACTGTGAATTTATGGTCACATTTTTTACAATGTAATTCTGTACAATTAAAAAAATAAAACCCAAATTATAAAGGCATATATATATATAAAACTTTGTCCTATAATTGTATAGCTGCTTATATTTTCTGATTTTTATGTTGCTCTGTTCTGAATACCTTAAAATTTAAAGGATTTGCTGCAACGCAATTTTGTCTATGTGAATTATTTATTAGCCAATTTTTTTTAAATCCATGCAGCAAATGCTTTAAAAACAGCTTAAAAAAATACTTTATTGCGTTCCAGACACTTTTAAAGTACTTTTTTTCCACTATAAATTTTACGGCCCACGGGCTGCATCCGAGCATAAAAACATGCCATATAAAAAAAACACAAATAAAGAATCAATGTATGTTATAGGCCAAATAAGTTGATAAATATTGAAATATAATGATAGTATTAGCTGCAATGTTGGCACTGAACGTGCATTTGAACAAGTAACACGCAGAGCCTATGCGTTTTTTAATACACCAGAGGGAATAATTCACATCCAGTTCCTACGCACTCAGAAGCATAATGAATGCAAACTAAGACAAAAGTTTTGGGCCGTGATGCCAGAAAACAACACTTCAAATATTCCTGTAGTGCTCTCATATTGCTCTAGAAACAGTGAGAATGATGATTGTTTATAAAACATGCACATTTACTTGGCTTTATAAGGACATACTGTAACAATAGTTGATTATGATTGCCACTGAATAACTGTTTTTAGAATAAAAACGTCTGGGGGCAAACACACACACAATCCAACAAATTTGGATTGTGGACAAATATGGACAAACATACATTTGTAAGATTACAAGATGTAAAATGCAGAATTCAGGTTTCCTGGTCTGGTCTGGTCTGGAAACTTTCTGGGCTTGGAAGTTTAAGACTTTCTGCTTCCACAATCTAGTTTGGGTGAATTATCGTGTGTCTTGGCTCATTGTCCTCTGAAATGGAAAAAAATAAATAAAAAATCTGCAAACATCTAACATAAGCCAACAATATTAGCAGTGCTGTTATGTCAAAGGCTTTATATGGCAGAGAACTTTAGCTATTTTGTTTTCTGGAAAATATCAGTGGCAAAATTATATATATATATATATATATATATATATATATATATATTAATTCTAGAGAGTGGCTTTTTTAAATCTTCAAACATAAATTAAAACCCAATAATTAAAAGATGCTAAAAACGAATTAACCCTCAGGCAATCCAAGATATAGATGAGTTTGTTTCTTCATCAGAACAGATTTGGAGAAATTTAGCATTACATCACTTGCTCACCAATGGATCTGCAATGAATGGGTGCCGTCAGAATGAATCCAAACAGCTGATAAAAACTTCACAATAATCCACAAGTGATCCACGTGACTTTTCAAAGTCCATTTTTAACCCTTTAAATTTTTTAATTCATGAAATACAAAAGGAGAGGATGAGAAGGTGGTGTTTGTTACTTTCAAGTTCCAAAAAACACATAAAAGTATCATAAAATTATATACAAGTAGGAATTTGTGGTATATTTGTTATTTCTTATACGTTTTCTGGTGAGGAAACAAATGTACTAAATAAGCCTCATGTAACCTTCATAATTATGTCTCATTATGATTCTGTAAGAGTAAATACTGCATAAAATATTTCTTTTTTTAGTCAACCAGGGAATAATGTCCTGTTTTCTTTTATCTATATTATGCCACCTACATTTTAATTCCTGCAAAATCACCTACGGAACATGTTAACAACCCGGGGCTAAAGCAAGAGACACAATCACTGTCAAGTAAACAAAGATAACATGGTAATCTACTTAGACAGACTGACCTAATGCATTATTCATACACAAACATAGTTAATGAGACGGGAGATAATCAAGCTTAAGCGATCAGCTGTATAAACGAAACAAATTCACTGGGGGAGGGGGTAAAAATTAATTATGCAGTGCATACTCGAAGCAAAGAGTCCAAACACAAACAATACACACACACACAAAAAACATAATACAAAACATGTTTTGAAAAAGTGCCATACGCCCAAAAGAAATCTCAGTGGATGCTCCTTCAAAGCTGGAATTCTCAGTTGGGTTTAAGTATCAACTTTGTCTCAGATGTTTGAACTGACAGTCTACGGCGTAGGTCCAACGCAGAAGTATAAATCAGCCTTTAGGCCCAATCCCAATTCTACCCCTTAGCCCTTCCCCTTTCGCGTGTTCACGTAAAGGGGTAGGGGTGTCTCGATTCTCTTTTGGTTGGAGGGGTAGGGGTAAGGGGAAGGGCCAGATAGCCCTTCAAAAGAAGATTTTTCGGGACCACACTTCAAACGAAGGGGTATGAATTTTCTCAGCGTAAACCGGCTTCAGGGGCAACATGGCTGCCCGAGCGAACAAGACGACACATAAATGTAAGCAGTTTTGGCATTAATAAAGATTTGAACGAAAAGTAATCATTTGTTTTATGTTACATTCAATCGTGAGTTCAAATTTACGGTCATGTTACTCAAAGAAATGTTTGCAAAAAATCGCTAAAGTTTGCTAACTTCATATCATTACTGACTGCACGATAGTGCCACAACATAGGCTATTTTCATGTCTGATCAGGGCGATAACCACCATAGACATTGAGGAGGGCTAGTACCCCCAATAATTATAAATCGCAAAACCCTTTTCTGAAATATTGCCAATTTGAGAGAGAGAGAGAGAGAGAGAGAGAGAGAGCGAGAGAGAGATGAAAGTTGCGTGGAAAAGGATTTCCAGGCCTGGAGCCAGGTGGCAAGTTGTCAGTGAGGCTTTTGAGTGGCAGGTTGCCACATGGGACTAAACGGGGAACTGAAAAGAGTTATTCTTGGGTGGTCCAACCTTGGCAGGACCTGGCCCTCTCCTTTTCCTCTCTGCATAGAGATCGAGATGGCTTCTGGGACTCAGGGTCCGAAGCCACTCTGGTGTGGGGTCCCTGGCGCTTATGAAAAGGGTAGCATTTCACCGTGTGAGGGTACTGTCGGAGCCCAGGCTCTGATTTTAGCCGAGGGAGCCTTCTGGCGACCTGAACCAGCCGCTGAGTTGGAGCGCAGGAAGTGGCGTATGACCTGCAACGATTTCTGTCCTGCAGTAAACTATCAATCAGATGGCAGAAGTCACTTAGAGGATTGTGTACATGTTTTCCAGCAAGGTTTTGATAATGTTGATAAATTATATGCCATGAAATATTATATGACATTTGCATATAAAATTTAAGTAGGTTTTATAATAGGGTTAAGAATCTCAGAATATTTGAACTAAGCAAACAAATTATATATTCACATGTAAATAATATGAGTGGTGGCATTATTCTATGTGTTTCCAAAGACTATAGAATCACTGCAGCGGCCGTTATAAGTTCTGGTTCCCATAGAAACCTGAGGCTAGACCAGCCAATGCACATGCGCAGTCATAAGCATGTAAAAACTGTGCATGCGCATTGGCTGGTCTAGCCTGAAAAATAAGCTTTTTTAGCACTATTTGAGCATAAGAAACAACATTCATGGGGCAGTTCATTTCAGATTTTGTTGCCGATTTGAAATATGTAATTTAATTTTGAGCTCATAGGGCAGTTTTTGAGATTTCAGGATCCCCCATTTCTTTTTGATATAGGACTTGGTCTTGTTTGAGCTGCCCGAAGGCATTGCAAATATGGCCGCCAAGTGAACAAACTTGCCTTGAAAGTGAATTTGATGGTTGCAACCAGTGCAATCAATGTTGTTTAGCGCATTCCTATACAGTTGCTAAGGTGTTTTGAGTGGTTACTTACTGATTGCTTACAAAATCTTAAGACCAAAGACCCACAAGTCTTTACAATGTAGTTGGAAATGCCATTTCAAGTCACAAACAACCACTTTTGATGGTCTAATTTAATTTTACGCCAGCACCACAATGCATTAAGTACTGCAAATTGTGTCAAAGAGCCACACTTCTAATCAGTGTGTTGAAAAGTAGTCAGACATATGCATGCATGCAAGGTAAAAAATGGTAAAAATTGGTTTGTTCATAAGCGTTTGTTGTTGTCATTATAATAGTGAATCCAGCAGCCCTCATAATCAGCATTTTTGCTTCTTAAGTCTGTGTACAAATACGTCCCACCCTGGCCCGTTTGGCAGCATCTGCTTCTACTGCTTCAAAAAGAGGAAGGGACACTTGAGATTGCAGAGGGAAGCATCATTTGATGCTTCCCTCTGCAATATCAAGTGATTCATTTCACAAAATTAACATGCGACTGGATGGATGAAAATATGAACAGCTGCAAACAGCAGATTTTGCCACAGATGTAATGAAGGGATTCAAGGTGTCATGGAGATACAGATGGTTGTGTGTTCGGTCCTCAGATGACCTCAGGTTTGCATGAGCATTAATAAACTGCATGAAGGAACTTCAACATTGCACTGACAACCACAGAATATCAGTATGCATATCTCTTGATGTAAAACATCAAGCGATCAAGGTCTGTGGTCATGGCAGGCATAGTCAGGCATAGAAGACAACTGATCACAGAAACATGGTTTCAGAGTCTAAGACAAGGGTTTTCAACCTTTTTTACACCACGGACTGGTTACATTTTGAAAATATTCTCATGGACCGGCTGTAGGGGGTGGGGTTTTGTTTTATAAATATGTATATATATATATATATATATATATATTACGGGTGTAAATCGGATGG